AGCCCGGGTTGTTTTTCAGAAGCCCGGGGTCTTTTGGAGTGTAATTTGTTTCATAGTTAGATGCCTGGCTGACAACTGTACAAAACAAAAACTACACACAATATTCAAAGCACATAGTGCACACTGTGCTTTTCTTTTAATTTTGGTATGATCTGAGCTCAGGCACTAAGCGACTGAGCGAGGGGGCAAGGGGAGCTGCTGCCTGCGAGTTTGCTGTTGGAGAAGCGCAGACAGAGGTGTACTGAAGTTTGACCAGGTACCAAAGCAAATCATTTGTACTGTACAAATAATGTAAATATGACGCAAATATGACGCGAATATGTAAATATGACGATATTTATCACAAAAGATTGATGTCAAACTGATCACTTGACCCATTTTACGTTACTCGCTCTTCAAGTGAATCAACAAACAGCGAGATGAAAAGCCGATCAAAAACAATGCTGTTTTTTTTTAGTCTTAGCTTACATGTGTGTTTATTTCATATTTTCAGTTGTTACCCTCCACGGCTAAATAAAGCACTCTAAATCGGTTTCAGTTATGTACTGATATACAAGAAAGGACATAAGGGGCTTCTTTCAAAGAAAAAACTCAGGTAAATGTTATTTTATATATTATGTTTTGTATTTTGTTCAGTATATTTCTATGCTAAACAAGAGGAATTTCAATACACAGCAATATATTCACAGTTTAAACCAGATATTTACACACACTTTAGGGAAAAAAACATAAAAACATCTTTTTTTACTGTACAACATCAATTTAGAGTAAACTTGTTTTGTTTTAGATAAATAAATATTGAAATATCTTTTGAATTAGTTAAATGTCAGAATAAAAAGAGAGAGCTGTCTATTTTTTTATCACTTTCATCAAATTTAGGAGTACATGTACACTAAGTTTATTGTTAATTAATAAGAAAACTCCAGACGATTCCATTCTGAGCTTAATATAGGAAAATGACATGTAATTTAAACAGCAATACTTTAGTTTTTGCTCTAAGTCTTTGACTCTGCTGATCTAGAAGCAGAGTCACTGGTTAGTGAAATTAAATGACTGCAGAACCCTACAAGAGGCAGTAATGCACCTTATTGGATGTCAGCAGCAATTATGAACCAAAGAAGAAGGAGGATGAAGAGGGGGAGGAGTAGAAGAAGATAAATCTGGTGGAGAGATAATAGGAAGCAAGGGGGCACAGAGCACAGGAGTAGCTGGTTGAAGAAAGAACTACTGTGCAATTAAGAGGGGCCAACCTGATGAAAGCACATAGGATCTGGTCTGTGAAGGTTCTCAGTCATCCAGGTCATCGTAGTCAAAGGTGACGCTTTTCTTTGCAAGCTCCTTTGACCACATAGGATCTGGAGAGGAAACTCACTCCCCACCAACACAAAGCCTATTAAAGTGGGTCAAGTCCTCTTAAGAAGATGCAAAACTAATATGATTGACTTCTTCTTCCTCTGAGTGACCACCTTTGACAATTTCTATTCAGGCTGATAATTCTGGCCATGGTGCCTTTGGGCCCTGGATTGCAGACCAGAATTACACTCCCAGCACACTTGTCAGCTTTGAAAATAAATAAATCTTATGTACCAATTTCCAGTGTGGGTGCGGTGTTTTGTTTTTTTTGTCTTTGTTTTTTTTTTTGTTTTTTTTTAGCTAGAACTTTATTAAAACATATTTCCTTTATAGTACAAAGGCAGTTTTTGTCCACATTGTAACAGGATATATTCAGTGGTTCATTTTGCAAATTCAAATCTTTATTTGCTGCCAGCTAATCTAATTTTGATGAATTATGTAACTACAAAGGAGCTGAAAGGTCAAGTAAAATGCAACTTAAGAAAACAACAGCAAATAGAAAAAACAATGCAATAGAATAGAAAACACAACTTAACTGAATAGAATACCATAGAAATGGTAAAAAAAAACAATCTTACAAAACACAATAGCTGTTAGTCATCATATTGGAAGGGTAGAGAAACCATTTGATGTGAATGAACTTGCCGCTTGTGGAATCGAAACGTCTGACCCCACAAATGATCTCTTGCACCACATATGCAGGTTACATAACAAAAGAATTCCTAAAATGTAAATATAGTCTTCAAAGATGTTGCTTGTGAGCCATCTGCAAATATAAATTGAATATTCAAACGCTTCTAAGCTACAAATGGAAATGGTTTATGTAGAGTGTGCAGTGTCTGAGAGAAACTTATGTTCTCTAATTTAAAGTTTAAGAAAATAATGAAGAATAGAAATAAATTCTGGACTCATCACAGAAAGTACAGATATACAGTGAATATATCAGTTTCTTAAGATAGAATATACCTTTTAAAGTTGTACCTCTTTAAATTTCTGCTCTGCATGAATATATTCTTTAAAACAAACACAATTACCTGCATACATTTTTGTTACATCTGCTAATTATCTCATGCGACTAGTACCTCAGGCATCCTCTTGCTTAACCCCTGCAAAACATGAAGGCAGACTATGGACTACACAGTTAAATGTGCTAAACATTTTAGAGGAGTTGTAGCCAAAAATTTCAGTTGAGTGCAATTAACTGTTGACATATATGATGAAAATAGAGCTTCAAAGGATGAAATCACCAAGACTAAATGTTGTGGGCCGGAGAAAGCATCCAAAATGAAACGTCTTTAAGAAACACTTTTCTTTCCTAGCTCCTTATATGGACTCAACAGTTAACTTAGAACTCTCTACTCTCTACCACATATCAGCGTCTCTCAGGGAAGCAGAGTGTGCCTTTATCAGGACAAGCTGCACAATAACAGAGTGCTGAACCACATGAATGCTAACATGACTGATTAACACTTTCAAAACAAGAAGTCAGTTTTTGGCTATCAAGCACATTACAGACACATGTCCAACTACTTCAGAAAGCTAAATTGCAAAAGACAAGCTCTCATTTGTCAAAAACTGCCTCATAAATTGCAACGAAACATTGGGAGACTAGACAAGGTAGTGTCTAGTATATGGTAATTTATTTATATAACATAATTACAGCAAAAATTTATGTCATTAGGTCTTTAGAGTAAAACACTGGTTGTAGCTGAGCTGAGGTAGTCTAGAAAGCTGGTGTCCAAATCAGGACAGTGAGCAAAAGAGAGACCTGCTGCAGAAAGACCTGCAGAGTGAGCGTTCATAGGCAAGCTCACTGGGCGCAAGTATAGCTCATGCAACAAATCAGCTCCTGTAGAATAAAGCATGACATAAAAAACAAAAATGGAGACACCTAGTTCCTATGGGTCATTGCAATGTAGCCTACAGGAAAAAATGATGTTAGTATGAAACTAAAAAAAATACCTGGAAAGTGTTAGGAATGAATACTTGCATTTTACTCATCATGAGAAAGAGACTGCATTGTGTTTGTCATGCGTTCCATTATTTCAGGGCTATTGTCTCACTTGGCTTCCTGCAAAATTAAGCCCAAGTCACACCATAGCGACATCATCTAACGTGTAAGCTCAGTGGTCTTTCTCTCTCTGTATAATGCATGTGAAAAATGACAGCATACGGATTGTTTTTCTAAAGCAAGAATCGGTGATGAGAGACACAATATTCTGTGTGAAAACCAGTTTCACTGCAGTTGTATATAGCGTGAGAAATACAACCACATAAACCGACCAAGACCAAAATTTCTTTGTCAGGCTCAAAACAATGTTTTTATCATTTGGCCTTGTTTAAAAAATATTTCTTTTTATTTGGCTTTTTATTGTGCTTTTCTTTCACGGGACTCGGGTTTCTCCTCTCCTCGTCCATGTCTTTTACTCCAGTCTCTCTCTCTTTCAGTTCAGGTTCTGTTTGATTTTTGAAGGTTGGTAAATCAGCTCGTGTTGCTGTGTTTTGGTGTTTAGTTTGTATCTGCACCCTTAGTCTCAAGCCCACGTGTCCTTGTCTAAATCTCGGTGTTCATGCTGCTTGTAGTTTTATTTTGATAACCTTTGTCTCATATGGATGGTGTTCAATTTTTATTCCTGACGTATTCCCTTGTGTTTCCACTTCCCTAATCACCCTTCAGGGAATTTATGGTCTCTTTTTTCTCTGTCCTTTGACAGAACGTCTGTTCTCCTGCACTTATGTCTGCAAGTTCCTAATAGTTCAGGTTTCTAGGATGACTTGACAGGCCTGTTCTTCA